GACGAAGCCGAAGCAACTCGAGGTCACTAGCGCCAGTAATTTCGGAGCCATAAGAAGCCCCCGCAAGGGGCCCCGAAGAGAACACCCTAAGAACCTGCGGCCTAGAGATGACTTTGATCTGACGCTTTAATCTCTTGGCCGCCCTCGCAGCCTTGGCGATACGCATTTTAGACTTCACCGAGCGCCCTGCCACTCTAAGCGCGCGGCCAGCCGTGTAGTCAACGCCTAAGTTGACAGCACTAGACGTAAAATTGCCTCCTAGATGCGAAATTTCGACAGAAACCTCCTCCCCCAGGGCCTTCGAAGAAGCAACCACAGCAGTCTTGTCCAGGGCAAGGGAACAACCGAAACAAGCCTCAACGATACCATGGAGCGCCTTAGCCCCTTCGACGATCGATTCGACCACGGTCCGATGTTGGCCCGTACACGAGAGCCCCTGGTCGTCGATATACACGTCGAGGTCGAGCCTGGGGATGGCAGGAAGAGAGTCGTATCCGTCCTGGCAAAAAAACCCGAATGAACGCGGTGGCCATCGAGCAGCCTGCGATGACCCCATTCTGGCAGAAGTAGGGGCCTTCCAGCCACCCTCCTAGACAGAGAAAGCGCCCACACCTGTAAGCATAAATGCAAAGATGGGCAATCGCAAGGGGGAATCCATGTTTCTTGCAGCGGACCTCAAGCTCTTTCAGACTAATGTTCTCATAGAACTTGCGAAGATCGAACAGAACCGAACATGAGGACTCCCCGATGGCAAGACCCGTCTCGGCGGTGACCGCTTGACGCCAAACCACATCGGCGGCTCCTCGAAATCTACCAGCAGCCCAGTACCGTTTGGGGTGTTCTTGCTCCCAGTTCAAGGCAAAGGGCCGCCGACAGCGGCCCCAAACCCTGAACCAGGAGCAGAACACCCCAATCGGTCTGTAGCCACCAGTGGGCTTCGGCAGAAGCGCCAGCGTGACAACAGAGATCTGCGGAGAAAGGCAGCCTAGCGCTTCCATGATCGAAAAAATGGCGCTGAGGCAATCGAGCGCAGCATCTGGCAACAACGAAAAATGCTTGCAGTGAAATCCGTCCACAGCCACAGCCGAAGAATCTTTGTAGGACTTAGAGATATCACGGATTTCGCTGGCCGTGGGTCGAGGAAGAGGCTCGAAAACCTGACCATCAAACTCGGCCCCCCGACCCTCACCCCATATGCTGCTGAACCTCTCTCCCTCCGCCTTGGGCAGGGAGAGAGGATCGCTGACAACGCAACCTGAAGCAGCGAGAGTCGAAGAAGGGACCCATGGAACAGGATCTTTAATGCACTGATGAACCCTTTTTGCCCCCTTATTGATGCCAACGTGCAGCCATGCTGCCCAGTCAGCTCGGCTCTTGGCGGCGTACTTGGCGCTGGCGGCCTTGACGGCCTCGTGAACCTGAGCGTGCAAATCAGCGAGAGACTCAACACCCCCACCAGAGCCAAAGGCGGAGACCTCCTGAGCCGCACGCTTGAACAGCGGCTCGTAGTCATCCACGGCGGCCGAGATGCTGGGCGGGGGCTCCACCAACGCGCAACTGAGCCTGGCAGCGGTGGCAGCAGCGCCTCCGCGCCGAGCGTGCATGAAGGCGCGAAGCTGTTGCCCGAGCCAACGGATCGCGCGATGACCAGGATAGCGCACCTTCCCGTCCTGGCCCAGGGTAGATTTCCACACAAGTTGAGGACCCAAACCCCTGGAACCTAACTTGGGAGGGGCAACGCCCACCAAAGGAATGAGGTCACGCTCCGCGTGGTCAGCCCACTTCCTGTAGAGCGGACCCAAAAGACGTTTGGCCCCCTGACCGTCACCATTCTGGAGACAACGTTCAGCCTCTGACGCCAGCGCAAGTTCCCCAGCCCAACGACTTTCCCTGGGGGCAGGGCCGAAAACCACTTGGCAAGGCAAGGGGGGGGGCTTCCTGAAAGAGAGAGCGTGAAGCGCCGCCAGCTTGGGATGGAAAACCAACTGGACGGGCCTATGGGGGGAGAGCTCCGTATCCAATCTCGTATCGGCCGGCTTGAGACCCTTAGCAAGACCGCCCGAACAAACGAAGAAGTCAAAAGTCGTGGGAGGGCCCGCAGGATAGTGCGTCGCAACAAGGGGGAAGTTGAGGGAGGCCCTCAACTCAGACACAAAACTTGAAGACTCGAGCTCAGCAGGCTCCAAGTTAAAATCGGCACCGACCACCTACGGCTGGCCAGCGGTCGACAGTTGCTCGCCTAGCCTCGCAAGCAACGAAATATTACCATCGCTGAGGCCTTCTGAGTGGTGAAGGTAGGCAGAGGCAACCATGATGGGGGGGGGTCCCAGGGAGGTGCGCGGAGCACGCGATGCATCGCCCAGGCGTAGTGATGGCACCCTCGACCTCCAGAAGCCCCAGCCAAGAGCGCACGAAAATGGCAACACCCCCACTCGTGTCCTGCGCTTGGGTGGGGATAGCAGGGGCCCAAACCGACTTCCATCCATGCCTTATGCACCAAGCACTGGCCTGCTCGATGTCCTCCTTGGAAATCAGACGGTGCTCCTGACCGAGCACAATGAGGGCAGAACAATCTTCGAGCAGACCCTTCAACGTACCCCACGAGTTGGCATTAATGGTCCGAATCGTGAGTGGCACCAAACAGTCAGAGTTAGAAACCGATAGCTGCTCGCTGCCGACGAGAGGAGCAGGCACAGGCAATCTGACATTACTGATAGAGTGCGCTGACGACTTGAAATCATCAGAGGGGTGTTGCACCCTCTGAGAACCCAAGGGTTCGAATTTGCCCTTGGAATGTCCTGACTTAAAATCTCCGAGAGCGACGAGCTCAACGTGGGGACGAGATCCCCCCTCCATGGGGGGGCAAACAGGAGTGGCCACGTGCGGGACAGCCCCGTCAGTGGCATCCTTGCGCGATGGCTTACCAAGGGAGTGAACAGGATACAAAACCCTTGGCACCGCGAAATCAAGCAAAGACACATGGGCACAGTCTGGCGTCAGATCAGCCTTGCGACGAAGCGGACCCCTCTTGCGGAGGAGGGCAGCTTGCGCTGCTGAGCGGAACTCAGCGTGCCGAAATACTAAACGAGCTTCAACCCCCCCTGGAGGCAGCCTTCCGAGCGAAGGACCTGCGGACCCCAATCAACCGACGGCTCGAGGAGGCGACGAGTATCAGGGCTGGCCTCCAGGGGGTAGCTAATCATTGACTGTGTGAGTGGCCGCGGCAATGCGGTCAGCGCGCTCACGAGCAGTGCCTGTCGTAGCAGGCGTGGTCGGAGCTGCTGCCGCAGCGCCCGCTGCGCCTGGCGCGCCTGCGCCGCCTCCGCCTGGAACAGCTCCTTGCAGAAGAGGACCGCTCTTGCCCGCGGACAGGTCGACCGTGGCTGTCTGCGGAGTGCCTGGCGCAGGTGCCGTGCCTGGCTCCGCCTCGGCAGACGGCGGCTGGGCTGCACCTTCATCTCCTTCGGCAGGATCACCAGCATCAGGAGGTTCCTCGACGGCCGCCTCCTGCTCCACTCGAGGCCGCTTGGCCGCCAGCCTCTTGATGTGCAGCGCGTGGGCGGACTTGAGGCCGTCGACCTTCTGCTTGGCCTCGGCGAAGAGGGTGCTGGCCATCGCCGTGAGCCCTGCCTTGAGCTGCTGCACGCGTGACTCGATCTCGATGTTGTCCGATTCGTCAAGCTCCACACCGTCACACTTGAACAAGTCCGATACGCTGATGTCAAAGACCTTCGCGAGACGCTCCTTATCCATGATGTCCTCCAATGCAAGCTTGACCGTCGACGTGGGTGGATGCTTAGCTGCCTCTTGAGACTCAACCAAGTCCTGCAAGAGTGTCGCGTGTTCACCTTCGGCATTGGTGAGCTCCGCACGCAGCTCCAGCACCACCGTCTTCTGATTGTTGAGCTGAGCTTCGTACTGTTCGTACTTGTCAACAGCCGACTCCAAACGCTTGCTGATACCATGCACTTTCCAGTGAGCCCGATTGAGACGAACCTGAATAGCTTCTTCTGCTGGCTTCGGCGCGGTGAGGGCCTTGGCAGCACGACGATGGGCAGCCGCACCTGCAGAATCTCCCATACGCTCAGCGAAGCCTGCCATGGTCTCGTACTCAGCGGCTGTGAACTTTGCTGCAGCAGCGCCAGCAGGGGCGGGTTGCTGACCACCTCCCTGGGTGAAGCCGCCTCCAGCACCTTTCTGTCGCAGTCCTGCGTCACCACCGCCAGGTCCCTTGCCCCACGCAGCGCCACCGTTGAGCTGCCCGTAGCCGAACAACTGACGTGCTGCATCTCCAGACCATGCCGAAGAGGGGACTTGCTTGTAGGCTCCACAGTGCTTGCAATAATAGAAACGAGCTGCATTCTTGGCGCACCCGCAAGCCTGGCACTTCCACTTCTTGCCTGGCTGCTGGTTGTCGTCCTGATCCTGCACACCGCCGCCGCCCTTGCCGAACAAAGGACCAGGCACCAGAGGAGGCCAGACATCGGTGTACGACACGCCTTTGCCTCCGCCTTTGGCCTTGCCCCACGCCATGCCGAGGGAGAGGCTGGATGGACTGACCACCGACCAGCGCACAGCCTAGTCGTGATGAAAGCTGCGATGCGTGGGGCGGACCACGCACCGCTCTGCCTGGGGCGAACCAGGCGAAAGATGAAAGCTGGCCGCGGACTAGCGGTATCCACTTTGTTCCCAGGGGAAACCAAAACCTTGAGCCAAAATGAATACGGAGAGGAGGAGGAGGAGGAGGAGGAGGAGGAGGAGGAGGAGGAGGAGGAGGAGGAGGAGAGGCGCGAGGGAGGAGGAGGAGCGGGGAGGGGAGGGCGGGGAGGAGGAGGAGGAGGAGGAGGAGTAGGGAGGATGAGGAGGAGTGGAGGAGGAGGAACTGGGTTGTTAACACAAGGGGGGAGGAGGGGGAGGAGGAGGAGGAGGAGAGGAGGAGGAGGAGGAGGAGGAGGAGGAGGAGGAGGAGGGCGGGGAGGAGGAGGAGCGGGGAGGAGGAGGGGGGGAGGGACTGCGAGAGGCCGGCGGAAGAGCAGCACGAGGCCCCTGCTCGCGCCCGCGCGGCCGCCGCCCCCGCCTCTTGGGCGTGCGCGGCGGAGGCCGCGGGCGCCTCAGCGCTGGGCGGTGGCCTTGTAGTCGGCCATGAAGCGGAGCACGAAGGCCTCGATGTGGAAGATGTCCTGCGCAGCGTCTCCGGGAGGGGGAGGAGGAGGAGGGGAGAGGAGGAGGAGGAGGAGGAGGAGGGGGTGGAGGATGAGGAGAGAGGAGGAGAGGTGGAGGTGGAGGAGGGGAGGAGGAGGAGGAGGATGGGAGGAGAGGAGGAAGGAGGAGGGGGAGGGGAGGAGGAGGAACGGAAGAAGGAAGAGGAGGATAGCGGGGAGGGAGGAGGAGCGGGGAGGAGGGCAGGAGGAGGAGGAGGTGGAGGAGGAGGAGGGGGGTGGAGGGGGGGAAAATGTCCTTTGCACCGTCTCCGGGAGGGGTAGGGTTCGGGCCGGGCCGAAAAGGGGGGGAGGAGGCCGTCAGGAGGCCTCCTACTACTCCCCCCACCTCCTCACTCCTCTCCGTCCTCTTCTCCTCCTCCTCCTCCTCTCTTCGCCTCCTCCTCCTCCTCCTCCTCCTCCTCCTCCTCTTCCTCCTTTCCTCCTCTTCCTCCTCCAGGCGTCGGCCCAGCATGGTCGAGCAGGCCGCAGCCATGGCCTGGAGGGGTAGGATAGGATTTAAGTCGGGCGTGTCCCCCTACAGGTGGGTTTTCGACGAAAAATAGAATACTCAAAACATATTCCCAAATGGTAAAAAAATACCCCACAAATAGTCCCCAAACTATTTTTTGGCTACTTTTGAATTTTCCCCCTGTAGAGGGACGGGCCCGACTTAAGGGTGGGATCGGCCGGGCGAAAGTGGGGGGTAGCAAAGGGGCGGGCTTGAGAATCAGCTCGCGCATAGCCGATTTTCCCGGCGCCGCCCGGCGCCGGGAGGCGCCCATCGCATCGAGGAGTGGGCCCTGGCGGCGGGGCCGAAACCAGCTGCGTGCAGCAGCTTTCGTAACCCCCCCTTTACCTATCCCCCAGGGAGGAGGAGGAGGAGGAGGAGGAGGAGGTCAGAAGGAGGAGGATGGGGAAGGAGGAGAGGAGGAAGGAGAGGAAAGGAGGAGGAGGCGGGGAGGAGGAGGAGGAGAGAGGGTAGGAGGCGGTGGAGGAGGAGGAGGAGGGAGGTGGGAGGAGGAGGAGGAAGGAGGAGGAGAGGAGGAGGTGGAGGAGGAGGAGGAGGAGGAGCCTCTTCGTTCGGCCTGGTGGGAGGCCGAGAGCGCCCGTGCCCAGGCGTCGGTCGAGCGCGGTCGAGCCGGCCGCGGCCACGGCCGCGAACGGGGGAGGTCCCGGGCGGAGGCGCCGCCCGGCGCCGGGAGGCGCCCACGCATCGAGGAGTGGGCCCGGCGGCGGGGGGCCGAGAAACCAGCTGCGTGCAGCAGCAAGCAGCAGGAGGCCTCCTCCCCCTCCTTCCACCTCCTCCTCCTCCTCCTACCCCCCTCTTCATCCTCCTACTTCCTCTCCTCCTCCTCCTCCTCTCCTCCTTTTCCGATCCTCTCCTCCTTTCCTCCTCCTCCTCTCCTCCTCCTCCTCTCCTCCTCCTCCTCCTCCTCCTCCTCCTCCTCCTCCTCCTCCTCCTCCCCCCCTCTTGGTGGGAGGCCCAAAGCGCCCGTGCCCGGGCGTCGGTCGAGCGTGGTCGAGCCGGCCGCAGCCACGGCCGTGAACGGGGGAGGCCCCGGGCGGAGGCGGCAGGATCGCGAGCGGGTAATCGTTGGGCAACTTCGCTGGCTTCGGCTGCCGCCGCGTCACGGGGAGGACGGCGAGGACGGGGAGGAGGACGACGAAGAAAGCGGAGGAGGAGGAGGAGGAGGAGGAGGAGGACATGGAGCGCCAAGGGATGATGGTGGGAGGATCAGGAGGGGATGCGGGATGGGGAGGAGGAGGAGGAAAAGGGAGAAGAGGGCCCCCTGGGAAAAACTATTGCGCCTGGTATTTCAGGGGTTCTGCAAATCCTTTCCCCGCGGCTCCACCCACCTCCTCATCCTCCTACTCATCCTCCTCTTCCTCCTCCTCCTCCTCCTCCTCCTCCTCCTCCTCCGACTCCGACTCCCCTTCCGTCGTCTACCACCCCTCCTCCTACTCATCTCCTCCGCCTCTTCCTTCCTCCTGCATCGTCCCCGGCACCCTCGCCTTCTCCACCCCATCATCCTCATTGTCCCCCCCTCCTTCCTCCTCCTCGTCCTCCTCCTTCTCCTCGATCTCCTCCTCCTCCTCCTCATCCTCCTCTCTCCTCCTCCTCCTCCTCCCTCCCTCCCCCCTCCCTCCCTCCCTCCCTCCCTCACTCCCCTCCACCTCCTTCCACTCCCTCCCCCCTCCCCCCTCCTCTTCCTTCCTCCTCCCTCTCCTCCTCCTCCTCCTCCTCCTCCTCCTCCTCCTCCTCGCGAGCATCATACACACCCTCCTCGGTCAACATCCCTCCGCATGATCCGAATACATTGTTGCAAGATGCATGTATACTGTATGGCAGTCCATTGCTATTCGCTGTATGAAGTTTCTGGACATTATTGTGTGTGTGTGTGGGTTGCGTTGCCGTCTACACCCGGGCATAGTTGTTTCCGCCTCCGCTCTTCTGGGCGGCTTTGCTCGAAGTGATTATGAAGTCGCTTGGCTTTTTGATTTGTGATCACATCTTGCGCATTGAGCTCGATGACGTGTTGCTGCAATCGGGTACCGCTTCTCGCAAAGCCACGGCGAGCCAATCGTCATCTTCCTCCTCCCTCGACATCCTCGTTCTACACCTCCAACCTCTCGTACTCCGTCTCGTCTCATCCCCCGCACCATCCAGTCCTTCTTGTCCTTTTCGTCATCTCACCTTGCCCCTTCCTCATTATCCTCTTCCTCCTCCTGCTCCTCGTCCTCCTCCTCCTCCGCATCCTCATCATCAGCAGCAACATCACCATTTTAATGATCAGCATCGCCTCACTATCAGCAGCAGAAGCAGCAACAGCAACATCATCAGCATCATCGGCATCATCATCGCCACCGACAGCAAAGCAACATCGCTAGCATCACCACAATCAGCATAGTCGTCCTCACCATCAGCATAATCGCCATCATGATTACCGGCAGCAACAGCAACACCGTCGGCATCACCATAATCAACAGCAATTATCATCGGCATCGGCACCGGCATCGGCATCAACATCACCATCAGCATCAGCAGCATCAGCATCATCATCAGCAGCATCATCGACATCATCAACGTCATCACTATCATAATCATCATCACCGTCATCATCATCATCATCATCATCATCATCATCATCATCATCATCATCATCATCATCATCATCATCATCCGCATCATGGGTACCATCGTCAGCAGCATCAGCATCACCACCATCATAATCAGCATCAGCATCAGCATCATCCATATCATCACCGAAACCACCACCACCATCATCACCATTATCATCGGCACCATCATCACCGGCAACATCATCGGCATCATCACCATCCGCATCATCATTATCATAAGCAGCCTCAGCATCATCACCATCAACATCAGCATCAGCATCATCATCATCGTCAACAACATCATCATTATCATCCATTCATCACCATCACCATCATCGTCAGTAGCATCGCCGCCGTCATCATCCACATCCTTGCCACCGTCATCGTTGTCATATTGTTCGCCCTCATGATCGGCAGAAGCGTCAACCATCATCTGAGTTGCAGTGCGCCGACCATGAGCAGACCCCGAATCCCTCCTGCTCCGTCTCCTCCTGCTCCTCCTCCTCCTCCTCCTCCTCCTCCTCCTCGTCATCATCATCATCAGCAGCAGCATCATCATCACCAGCATCAGCATCAGCATCAGCATCATCATCATCATGCAGTGGTCCCTCCCTCACCGTTTCTCTCTCTGGCCATATCCCTCTCTCCCTCATGATCCGGCTCCCCCCCTTCGATTTGGAAGGCTTGCACTAAAACAAGTGGGGGGTTCGTCTGCTGTCCTTGCCACGTTCCCCACGCTGCATCCGAAAGGCTTCCTTAGCCTAGCAGAGGCTGCCCGAAGTTGCCCTGCGCGATCCGAGACTATCCGACGCTATCCGAAGCTATCCGAACGCCGAAACGTTCCACAACTGCTGGGACAGAGAGCGTCCCCTGTTCCACACAATGGGGAGTCTGTCGTCGCTCAGTCCCTCCACGTCGTCCTCCTCCTCCTCCTAATCCACCTCCTCCTCCTCCTCGTCCTTATCCTCCTGCTCCCCCCCTCTGAAGCTGTCCTTCGTCCCCTGGTTCATGGTGGACTCGAAATGGGCCGCCGCTGCCAGCGTGGACTGCTTCAGGCTCTCAACCCGCTGCTCCGCCACGAGCTTCTTGCAGAGCTCCTCGAGGAGTAGGAAAAAGGTAAGAGAAGGGAGGATGAGGAGGAGGAGGAGGAGGAGGAAGAGGAGGAGGAGGAAGGAGGAGAAGAGGAGGAGGAAGGAGGAGGGATGAGGAGGAGGAGGAGGAAGGAGGAAAGAGGGCGGTTTGGCGGTTTTAGGGAAGTAGGGGCTTGACCGCCCTGGTGGCCAACATGCGGCCCCAGAACCACCGAACGAGCCCCCCCGGGCAACAGGACACGAATCAGCACCGCCGCGAGCCAGCCGAGTGATGATCGATCTCTGGCCTGGGGAGGGCATGCCTGGCTTCTCCTGGGCCCCCCAACCCTCACAGGGTGGCCAGACGACCCTGGTCGGAGGGGAGGGGGGGGGGGCAAAGGGACTAGCAGAGGAGGGAGGAGGCGGCACGAGGGATGAGGAGGAGAGGAGTTAAGAGGAAAGGGGAAAGAGAGGAGGGAGGGAGGGGGAAGATGGGGAGAGGAAGGAGGGAGGAGGAGGAGGAGGAGGAGGAGGAGGAGGAGGAGGAGCACGAGGAGGAGGAGGAGGAGGAGGAGGAGGAGAGGAGGAGGAGGAGGAGAGGAGGAGGAGGAGAGGGAAGGAGGTGGGGGAGGAGGAACAGGAGGAGGAGGAGGAGGAGGAGGAGGAGGAGGAGGAGGAGGAGGAGGAGGGAGGCGGTCGAGGGGAGGGCAGGCAAGGCAGGACGTCCTTGAGGATGAAGACGGACGGCAAGCAGGCGGCCAGGAGCTCGTAGACGTCCGGGCCGACGGCAACGGGGACGTGCAACCACGAAATCCACGGCATCGAAGTTACGAAGGGGACCTAATACAAAATAACATCCTTAAAGAGCATGAGACCCCTCGTCAGCCAAAGCACACAGAACATGCGAGGGTACCCTCCCCAGGATGCACAAGGACATCCAACAAACACGAAAAACATGAGGGCACCCTCCCCGAACCGACCTCAATCTCATGCCTCGGTCCGACCGTAGAGGAGGGCCGAAGCCACGAGCAGCGAACATGTCCGTGTCCGCGCCCTCGCGGTCTGGATTCTGGAGCGCGACTCCGCGAATACGAGGTCGCACGGGTACGTTCCGCGCGGGGCATCCGCGACGAAACGCCATGGGGCCCAGGGGCCCGGCCCGCGAGGCCGCGGATAGGGATCTGTTCTGTTGGTTTATGGTGAAGCGCGATCGGCTAGGCCATGTCCTTACCTTTTGGGAGGCCTCCGAATGCTTCTGCAGCTTAGTTGCACCGATACGCAACACGCAACACGCAGCGTATTGATACGGAGCTCAACACGTAGGCTGAAAACGTAGGTCCGACGCGATACATTCGCCAAAACGTGGTCCAATACGTGGAGCCAACACGCAACGTATTGACACGGACGTCCTGAACTCAGCACGTGTTGCGTTTCAAAACGGGCGTATCGAGGCAACTAGGTTCTACAGGCCTCACTGGGCCCGCACCAGCGTGTCCCTCCGGCGAAGTGCCACTCCCACGTCGGGAGCGGCCAAGAGGGGGGTGTCCAAGAGGGGGGGGTGCAAACCATGACCGGCGGCACGTGCGCGGCCCAGCGGGGGGGCCAGGAACGCAATGAAACAGGAAGAGGCGCCATGAAATCTGCGGAAATATCATGGCCCACGCCATGATATCCTACAGGGCAGTTTTTAAGGCATAGGATGTTAACACATAGGATGTTTAATACATGATTAATGTATGAATACATGCATGCATGAGCTCATCGTTGTCTTCAATACTAAATCCCTGCATTTGTAATACATGATCCGCACGCGGAGCATGTATTAACAACGGCACTGTATATCCACACGCACCCACACACACTCGTCATCACCCCCCTCGTTGCCGCCCCCGACCACGCGCGGCGGGAAGCCGCCGCCTCGCGCCCCGAAGGCGCCGTGGCGGAGGGCGCCTCCCGAGGGCACCTCCCGTGGGTTCGAGGGCCCCGGCGCTCGAGAGAGCCGAGGCCTCGGGCCCGCTGGAGGCCCCGCCGCGCGGCCCCCGCAGAGGCCTCCAGGGGCTCCTCTTCCTCCTCCTCCTGCTCCTCCTCCTCCTCCTCCTCTTCCTCCTCCTCCTCCTCCTCCTCCTCCTCCTCCTCCTCGCAGCCTCTGGAGGCCTCCAGAGGCCTCCAGAGGCCTCTCCAGTGCCCGTCGCCTCGTCGCCGCCCGCCCGGGATGTTCGCCCGCACCTCCATCGCCATCTTCGGGCTCTGGTCCGAGAGGATCTTCTTCGCCACCCGGTCGATGGCCTGCTCCCACGCCTCGCGGGGGCAGGCCATCTCCTTCCCCAGGGACTGGCTATTGGCCTGAGCCTGCGCGCTCTCCAGCATCAGCAGGGCGCGCAGCATGTCCCGGTTCGTGGCCTCTGCGATGCTGTGGGCAAACTCTGGAGCCAGCTTCACGTTCTCCTTCTGCGCCACCTTTTTCGGGGGGAAGGGACACACTGCCTAAACACACACACACACACACACACACACACACACGCACACGCACACGCACACGCACACACACGCACACTCACACTCACACACACACACACACACACACACACACACACACACACACACACACACACACACACACACGTTCGGATGCCCGTGCGGACTTCTTGAAGCTGCGCTGGGCCTCCCCTGGCGGCGTCTCTGGCGCCGCCCCTGGCGCGCTCAGCGCACCAAGGAGGGGGGGGGGCAACGCAGATTCAAGACATCCGCGCGGACCTCCGAGCGCGCGCCTATTTTGTGCAGGGGCCCAAGGACACACAAAGAAGTACACACACATAACAGGACTCCCCCATATTTTCCCACATGTTCTGGGTTTTTTTGTCTTCCCCCCCACTTCCCACAGTTTCCCATATTTTTCCTGGGAGTCGACGATGAATTGTGTCTGTGTGTTTTTTCCCCTCCTGAGTTTGTGCAGGTTGCAAGGCATTCCTTTGCAAGCACATCGTCTTCGGCACCGCCTGATTCCGGGGCTTTGCCCTCTCTTGGCCTTGACGTGAGGCCTCTCCTTCTGCCTTCCCCCCTCTGTCAATCAAAGCTGTGCGCGGCCCGCTTAGCTTCGACCGGAAGAGGCTCGCTCTCGACCCGCGGATCCCCCATGTTTTCCCATATTTCCTGGGTTTTTGTCTTCCCCCCCACTTCCCATATTTTTCCATATTTTTCCTGGGAGTCGACGACTAAATGTGTCTGTGTTTTTTCCCTCCTGAGATTGTGCAGGCTCGCACCAACCACAGCATTTTGCTTCTGCCGGTACTTCGCCACCCGGTTCCTGGACAAGGCGCGCCTTTGCAAGCACGCCGACTTCGGCACCGCCTCTTCCCGAGGCTCTGCCTCCTCCCAGCCTCGCCCTGAGGCTGCGCTCTCCCCCCCTTCCTCCCCCCCCTCTGTCAATTCAAGCTTCGCGCGGCCCGCTTAGCTCCGACCGGAAGAGGTGCGCTCTCGACCCGCGGATCCCCCACGTTTTCCCATATTTCCTGGGCTTTTGTCTTCCCCCCTGCTTCCCACAGTTTCCCATACTTTTCCTGGGAGTCGACGATGAATTGTGTCTGTGTGTTTTTCCCCTCCCGAGCTTGTGCAGGCGGATCCCTGTGCGCGCACCTTCTGCAGCACGGCCCGGACGTCCTCCGCGGAGGGGGCGGGCACCCGCACGGGCAGGCATCGGCTCCTCAGCGGCGCGATGATCTTCGAGACGCTGTCGCAGGTGAGGATGATCCTGGAGGGAGAAAAAACACCACATATTACCAGCCTCGAACTTATCCCTATCCCTAAGAGTGGCACGCCCAAAGGCGATGACAATCTCAGGGGTCCGCCCTCAAAAAATGAGGGAATCCCTAAGATTGGCATCGTGATGAGGAGATGCCCAGCATAGGGATAGGGATATGTTCCAGGCTGGTAAACATAACAGGAGGGAGAAAAGCTTGGCGGCGCGCAGAAGGGGGTGGAGGGAGGGGAGAAGGCTTCCTAGAGGGAGGCTGCTTCTTAGAAGGCGGCGGCCTTTCATCTATAAGGAAGGCCCGTGGCCTATACGTCTATAGGGAAGGAGAAAAACACCACATATCCGGGGCGTGAAAACGACCACAGCCACTGCTTTTCTTTTGTTGCCGCCTTCCAGCCCGCAGAAACAAAGCAGTGGCTGTGGTCATTTTCGTTGAGCTTGGCACCAGGGAAATGACCACAACCGCTGCTTCTTTTTCGGCCAGCTGGAAGGCGGCGCAAACAAGAAGCAGTGGCTGTGGCCATTTTCCCGTCCCGCAACATAACAGGGCTGAACCTAAACGGTGTTTTTCGTGTCGCTTTCGCTGTCCCTCGCTGTTGTCTCGAAGCCGCCTCTACCTCAAAACACGAAGCCGAAACGAAAACGGCCCACGAAATCGCCAAAAGCACCGTTTAGGTCCAGCCCTGCCACATCAACGTTAAGCTTTTGGCGCTCCGCGCGGATTCCTTGGATTCGCGCCGGAGACCCCCCTCCCTGGCGCGGGTGACGCGCCTGGGGCGGCGCCGGAGGCGCCGCTGGGGGGCCCCCGGCGCGGCTCCAGGAAATCCGCGCGGAGCGCCAAAGGTTTACGCTCATGTGCCTTTCTCTTCTTCGAGATCCGGCACGTCTTCATGAACTTCTCCATCGTCCGCCGCAGCGCCGCCTGCGCATCGGTCGACAGGCAGCCGGCGTCCTCGATGACCACCACCTTGAAGGGGTGCCCGCCGATGGGCGGGTGCTGGGCCACCTCCTTTGTGGAGCATCGTCTATCCGGCCCCCCTCCCCAGCGGCGTGGCCCGGGCCCCACGGGCCAACTTACCCCCCCAGATGGGGATACGGGCCGTTTCCTTCGGGTCTCGAGGGGTGCACCCCCAACTGGGGTGGTACTTTGGTGGGGGTCTCGAGGGGGATGGGGATGGGGACGGGAGTTGGCTGAGCCATACCGATCCTTGATCAGTTGCATGATCACCGCCCTGTCCTTGTTGCCGATGTCCGAGGGCGTGACCGAGAGGTGGTGGTTCGACACCACCACCTCCGAGGAGCACAGAGCGGCAGAAACATACGCCGTCGGAGGTGCGCGCGGACTCCGTGGATCGACGCTGGGCCCCCCTCCCTGGCGCGCAGAGCGCGCCGGGTGCGGCGCCGGAGGCGCCGCCAGGGGGGCCCAGCGCCGATCCAAGAAGTCCGCGCGGAGGACCTCTTCCTCCGCCTCCTCCGCCCTCCTCGCCTCTCCTCCTCCTCTCTCCTCCTCTCCTCCTCCTCCCTCCTCCTCCTCGCACGTCGCCAACCTCCTCCTCCTCCTCCTCCTCCTCCTCCTCCTCCTCCTCGACGCCTGGATGTCGATGGTGTTCGACGGCGTGCTCGGGTTCGGTGCCACCTGCCGGGTCTCGACCTTCCTCATCTCGACGCCCTGCCCGAAGATCTCGCGCAGCAGCGCCTGCACCCGTGTGGCCTTCCCCGACCCGGTGGGCCCCGCGATCAGCATGTGGGGCATCTCGCCAGACTTGGCGATGCGCTTGAGGCGAGCGCCGAGGTCGTGGTGGAAGTCCATCTCGTCGAGGCTCTTGGGGCGGTGCTTGTCCACCCAGAGCAGCGACATGGCACCGCTGGCAAGCACAGACCTTGGCGCAGTGGTCGGCTGGCAGGGCCTCTTGCTTTTGAGCCAGCCTGCCCACGCACAGACGTATACATACATACCTCCATGCACCTATCCGCCTCCGTGCCGCCAACCCTGATTATTTCAATAAATGGAGCGTTCTCTGTCTTTGGTCTTAAGAACGTCCAAGTCAGCCCAAGAAGCCCCCACAAGCACCCAAAGACGGCCCACGAGTCTCAGGTAGGTGTCCAAAAGGCTTCCGAGAGGGCCCCGAGAAAGGCCTGGGAAACCCGAGCGGGCTCCGAGAGCACTCCCCCCAGCATGGACCCGAGACCGCCAGCGGGCCCCCAGGAGACTCCAAGAGGCCTCCATAAAAAGGCCCCCAGGAATATCGAACGCACCCGCTGCCGCCATCTGCAAGACCTGTTGGGCCCTCGTAGGATCCAGACCACCACCAACTTATCTGGAGAAGGACCCAACCATATGCAGTTCTGATTGTGACTATCTTCTTCGGTGGTGCCCACGAACCGTATGAGGGGCGTGCCGAAATGTGGCGGGGTACACAACACGAAGGAAAACGATTGGTCTAATTACGAGAGACTGAGCGCGGGTGAATCTGAGCGCGAGTGAGTCTAAGTGTGAATGAGTCTGCGCGCGAGCGAATATATTTGCACGAATGCGATCATTGCTACGCCTCGTGAAAATGCATATGGATGCGAATGGTTCGGGTATGCCTGTCTGTGCACTCGTGACACTGAGCGTGGCCGCCGCAGAAAGCTTCCGCGGGAACCCTGGCGGCAGCGCCCGCACGCCGCGACGCCCATGTCGGCACGCCCCTCACGAGGCTTCCTTCCCTTCTTTTCCTCCCTCTTTGCCCGCGCACTCCAAAGTCCAAAGCTGCGGTGGACGTATGGTGGCGGTGGCATTGGCGCCTTCGGTGGAGCCCCCTTATGGGGCCAGGAAGCGTGTCAGGGGTGTGCCGAAATTCGTGTGGGGGGCGCATGCGGGCGGTGGTATTGGGGCCTTCGGTGGAGCTCCCTATGGGGCCACGAAACGTGTGAGGGGTGTGCCGAAATGTGTGTGGGGGACGCACGTGGGCGGTGGTATTGGGGCCTTCGGTGGAGCTCCGTATGGGGCCACGAAACGTGTGAGGGGTGTGCGGAAATGGGTGTGGGGGCCGCATGCGGGCGGTGGCACTGGGGCCTTCGGTGGAGCTCCGTATGGGGCCACGAAACGTGTGAGGGGTGTGCCGAAATGGGTGTGGGGGACGCATGCGGGTGGTGGCACTGGGGCCTTCGGTGGAGCTCCCTATGGAGCCACGAAGCGTGTGAGGGGTGTGCCGAAATGGGAGGCCACGAAACGTGTGAGGGGTGTGCCGAAATGGGCGTGCGGGACGCATGTGGGCGGTGGCACTGGGGCCTTCGGTGGAACTCCATAGGGGGCCACGAAACGTGTGAGGGGTTTGAATTGTGTGTGTGTGTGTGTGTGTGTGTGTGTGTGTGGTGTGGTGTGTGTGTGGTGTGTGTGTGTGTGTTGTGGTGTTGAGTGTGTGTGTGTGTGTTGTGTGTGTGTGTGTGTGTGGGGGGGGGGGGGGGGGTGGGGGGGGGGGGGGGGGCGCATGCGGGCGGTGGCACTGGGCCTTCGGTGAGCCCCCTTATGGGGGCGACGAAATCGTGGAGGGGGTGTGCGACATGGGTGATGATGTGGGATGATGACGGTCGTGATGTGATGATGATGACGATGATGATGATGATGATGATGATGCTGATGATGCTGATGCTGATGCTGATGCTGATGCTGATGCTGATGATGGTGATGATGACGATGACGATGACGATGATGATGATGATGATGATGATGATGATGATGATGATGATGATGATGATGATGATGATGATGATGATGACGGGAGGAGAGAGGAAGGGGGAGGGGGAGGAGGAGGAGGAGAGGAGAGGAGAGGAGAGGAACGCGGGACGACGTCTCTTCAAAACGAGGACTCAACACCAAAAGATGGTTGGGAAAAAGTAAGAGAGGAGGGGTAAGAGAAGGAGGAGGCGGACACACGATTCCCAAGGCATCGATCCGCGTGTGCACACGCACCGCTACGTACATCGCATTTACTCTCGTTTGTGCCGCCTTCCTCGCACCGCCCCTGGACCAGGAAATGCCGCGCACTCGAATCTGAAGGCTTTCTCGAACTCGGGGCTGGCCACCGCGATGAGAGCCGTGGTCTCGTTATCCTCACGGCGAAGGGGAGGGCAGATGGATAGTGAGAGAGAGAGAGAGAGGAAGACGGAGGCGGGGAGGGAGTGAGTAAAGGAGAAGATACGGCAAAGGAGGAGGGATGGCAGAAACAAAAATTAGAGCGGAAAGAGAGGCGGGTACGGAAGATGTGTGGAGGAGTGGCGGGGCGGAGGAAGGGGACAGCACAGATAGGAAGGTGGAGGGCCCAAGCTACCACGAGTCTACTCATTGGGACCTGGTGTCTAGGAAGCGTCAGCAGACATACGAATGCCAATGCAGAAGAAGCTGCCGAGGTCTGGAGCGGATCAGAGTTGCAAAGTTTACGATGTGTTATCTAAATCTCTCTCTTTCTCTACCTCTCATTCCCCGCGGCCCTTCTCCTCTGCGCGGTCACCGTTTGCAGTTCAGCGCAAACCGAATAGAGCACGAAACTATTCACGGAAAGGGCAGCTGCCTGGTCAAGGAGGTGCTGAGCGGGTAAGGTTGTGCCTGCTGAAGCAAGCCTGAACAAAAGTCGCAACCACTCAAAAAAACGTGTGTGCGCCAACCGCCGGTAAGCCACACCGTAACCTGTTGATGTTATTGGTCCATGCCTCCCGGATGCCATCCATGGCTGTCCAATTACGCACCCCATGTCCCCAAAACTACGCAAGTAGACGCTCTCATGTGAGAGGAGGGGGATTTGGCTCCCGGCGGATTCGTACCATTGCTTGGTTCTCCTGCTAAGAGGAGGATGGAGGAGGGGGCATGCAGGACGCAAACGGCAAGGGAAAGGAGGGACGGAGAAGGAGGAGAGAGGAGGCCACGAGGGAGGAGGGAGAGACTGGCGTAGTCACGCATACGCTGCCAAGAAAAAAAGCGTAGAGCCAGTAGGGATACAGTCGAGGCGTTGACCTAAGGAACCCTAAATAAGGAACGAGGCCCCTATTTCCCTTAAGTTGAACTTCGACTTCGTATCGAAAACCTAAGGGAAATCCAAGGCAAGCTGCGAAACAATTAAGGAACACGGAGCCCCTCCCCAACGAAAAGGATTCCTTCTTCAGGGCCCCGACTGTACACCACCGGCTGGAGACCGTCGTCCTCCAAGGCGCTCAGCACGATCTCTGAGGTGTGGACGTGCTGCGAGAGGTTGAAATTGAAGTTGATTCCCCCTGCCCTCCGTCCAGTTTGACTGCTGGCGCGAAGAGGAAAGGAAGGGAGGACGAGGGGGGAAGGACGCCGACGGCGCAGGCGAGAAGGTCGACGACGAAGGATGTCGACAGGCGACGGCAGGGGTGACGGCGAGTGTCAGGCATCCCGAACTCCGCAAAGTCCACTCCTGACTCTCCTCCTCCTCCTCCTCCTCCTCCTCCTCTTCCTCCTCCTCGTCCTGCTCCTCCTCCCCCTCCTCCTCCTCCTCCTTCTCCTCCTCCTCCACTTCCTCCTCCTCCTCCTCCTCCTCCTGCTCCTCCTCTCCTTCTCCTTCGCATCGTCATCCCCATCTCCATCCCAATCCCCATCCTCATCCTCACCCACCTTCTCCTCAGCCTTTCCTCCTTCTCCTCTTCCTCCTCCTGCACACTCCCAACCCTTTCCCCAATTCACATCGCCTCACTTTCACACAATCCGCTTCTCCTCCTCCTCCTCCTCCTCCTCCTCCTCCTCCTCCTCCTCCTCTGTCTCCTCTTTCTCCTCCTCCTCCTCTCTCCTCATCCTCCTCTACTCCTCCCCCCTTCCCTCCTTTCTTCTCTTTTGCTCCTTCTCCCCCTCCTCCTCCTCCTCCTCCTCCTCTTCTTCCTCCTCCTCCTTCTCGTCCTCCTCCCCCGCCTCTTCCGCCTCCTTCTCCTCCTCCTCCTCCTCCTCGTCGTCGTCGCCGTCGTCGTCGTCGTCATCATCGACCTCGTGCGAGCGGCACCCACATGCTAGCCACAACTCGGTGTGCCCACCGTGTATATCCTCCCCCTCCTCCATCCTCATACTCCTCCTCCATCCTGCCTCTTCCTCTGTTTCCTCGCCCTTCCCACTCAGCATTCTGCTGATTCTCACTCATGGTCCGCGGTGCCCTCGCTTGGAGGCGACAAGAGAGAAGGACACACAGAACAAGGGGATCGAAGAGAAAGCGGGGGACCCATTCGCTCTCCATGCCTCACTTCCCATCTGCTCTATCCATACGTGCTCATGCTTATCCCATCCTTCTCTCACGTCGACCTATCACCCCTGGCAGTGCCCGCCTCATCACTGCATCTGGCACTACAGTCGGGGCGTTGACCTAAGGAACCCTAAATAAGGAACGAGGCCCCTTTTTTCCATAAGTTAACCTTCGATTTCCCCTCGAACACACTAGGAAAGCCTGAGGCAAGCTGTGAAACACTTAAGGAACGCGGAGCCCCTCCCCAACGAAAAGGGTTCCTTGTTCAGGGCCCAGACTGTATACAGCATGCTTTGTGAAGGGTCCGATCAAGTGCGCCCTCCTGCTCCCTCGTTCCCTTCGCAAGCGTTCAAGTGCACCCTCTTCGCCCTCCACTGTCCTTCCTCATACCCCGTCCCTCGTCCTCTTCCACCACCTCATCATCCTCCCACCTCGTCCCCACTCTCCTCTTCGAACATGTCTACGCCCCCTCCTCGAACTCCATCACATGCTCCTACCTGCACACGCTCGCCCTTCCCCCTCCGCAGGAGCCCCCAGCCGCGGATGCTTGCGATCGTATGCGGCACATGTTGTTCACCTCTGGGAGGGGGGTCCTGCTCCTCCTCCTCCTCCTCCTCCTCCTCCTTCCTCC